GGGAGAAATTGAACCAGCAACTGTCCGATTTGCAACCTGGGAGCATAACCACTATGCTATCGACCCACAGGTCTAAATATTATAAGATTATTTAATATAAAAATAATTATTTAAACTAATCTAAACAGATTTGAGAATAGTTAGGGTTAAGGTCATAGTATAGTTTATAGTTAGCTTTGGGTTAGGGTTAGAGTTTTTTATATTAAATAATCTTATAATATTTATATATTTCTATTTATACTAAATAAAATCCATTTGAAATTTAATATAATTATAAACTTTTTGTTTTTTTTTAAAATTTGGCAATCCTGTCTTTATTATATTATGAGTGCATAATCAAAATACATAGTTTCTGAACAAAAAGCCTGCAATGAACTTAATATTTTCCAAAACTCTTTCTAATGATCATTTGTCCCAAATTTTCCACCAAAGAAAAATAAATATTTTGTTGGAGATAACATTGTTTTGTACTCTGATGAGTTGGTTTTTGTAGAGGTTGGACTTGCTTAACTCCTTTATATATTTGGCATGCAAGCCAAAAGTGTTTTGGTACAAGATAACTGGCAGGTGGTGCTCTTGTATAGAAAATTTTAGTGGAGACAGTGTTCTGGAGAGGAGGGTTTCAATTGACGAAATCTCTTAGGAGTTGAACAGAAAAGACAAGAGGAATAACAGAAGATTTTAAATTTCAATACACTCCTTACAAAAAATACAAGTGGTCATTCTTTATCTATAAAAACTCCCTTCTATAACTTTTGTTGTTTTGAAAAAAATTTCCGGATAAAAAGTGGAATTTGGCTTACCCCCTCCAAAGGATCAACATTGTTTATATCCCAAATCCGAATAGCCGAGTAGATTACAACCACGTGTTTGACGGATATGGTGCTACTAAATTAGACAGATCCCATGAATTTTTCTTAATGGTGGTAGCAGGTGGCTTGAGATACAGATTTACAGACGGCGACAGCATCTGGCTTGAGATACGAATTAGGTTAGACCAATTATTCTAAAGTCGGTCGTATAGTCAAAAAGAAATATTAATGTTAAGGCAAAGCTTTACAAGAGAGATATACAAATATTGTATTTGTTATATAATTTTTACATTTACCTGGCATGGGTTATAATAAAGCATTTTTTCTTGTTTTCTGTTTTTAAGGTACTGAGAAAGAAGCCTTTTTGTTCGATTCCTTTTTTCACTATTTCTACGATTTAGAGGTAGCACACTTTTCTTGTAGCCTGTCTGGGCTTATCTCTTTGTTTTTTTTTTTTTTTTATGTTTCCTTTTTTCCTTTTTTTATTTTTTCTTTAGAATTTTTCTTTTTTTGTTTTTTGTTTTTTTTGTGTGCATAAAACCCTTTTTTTTCTAAATGTACGTTTCAGTATGTTGAAACATTGTTTTCTTTTGCTCTCAGTGAAGAAAGTTAGAATGGAGGGATAGGCTTTTGCAGGCTAACAAGGTCTCTGACTTACATGTAGGTTGGTGCGACAAGTTGCATTTGGGCACATTAATCACAGCCGGGTGATGTTGGCTTACAATTTAAACTTTAGTAATTTTCCGTCCAAGTTTATTATATTAATAAAGTATTGTATTTGAGCTTCGACAAGACTGTCAAAGCTCTAAAAAAAAAAAAAAAAACTCAATGTCTTCCACTCTTCTACTTTTCAATAAAGACTTACTTGGCTGCTTGTAATAGTGCCCAATTGTGATCTTCTACAGCAATAATTCACTCCTCTCTAGCATCTAACTTACTAGATAACTCCCTAAAAAAATCTCTGAAAGCTTATTGCTAGCTTTGTTAAGATTGCCTTTTTCTTAATATTTTTCTTTCTTTAAAGGAGTATACAACAAATAGAGATAAGATAACAAAAAAAAATACAAATAAAACAAAAATGACAAAAACAAAGAGAAAAAAAAAAATCAAAAAAGAATAAAGAGAAAAAAAATAAATATAAAAAAAAATATAAAAGAGAAAATAACAAAGAAAAGAAAACAAAAAGAATAGCAGAAAATTCTGTCCTTTTAACACTACTATTACCCGTATTAGGCTAAAAAAAATTATATAACAAATATAATATTTGTATATCTCTAGTATAAAGCTTCACCTTATCAAATAAATTTTCTGACTAGGTTATCCAGACTTCTAAACGACGTAAGTGGCCAACCTCGGTATTACATGAAGCAGCATAGTCTATAAACAAAACAAACCAGACACATAATCACAGTCTGCTAGAACTGTTCAGATTTGGGAAGTGTAAACAATGCTGATCTTTTGGAGGAGGTAAGCCATTTTGCTTACTTTTGTGAGAAATTTTGAAAGAGCAGTAAGGAGGCGAGAAAAAGAGACAAAACCACTTTGTTTTGTTTAATAAAAGAGTGTGTATTTTCTTTACTCAACACACTGAATCTATAGGAAGGTGCAGGTACTCTCTTTATTTTTTTAGTAAGTGATAAACTCTAGGCTTGTCAGCAAATAGCATATGAGAACTATTTCTAAATGACAAATGCTGACCCCCACAGTGAGTAATAAACTCTGAGGAAGTTAGCAAGTAGTATATGAAAACTATCTCTAAATAACAACTGCTGAGTTATGGAGCTTAAGAACTATTTCCTAGATTGTTTTTATCTTTACAGATGCTTGCATTTTTTAAGAATTTTTGGATTTTTATGGTGATAAACTTTTTGTTGATTAATATATAAAAATTGTTTTTTATAAATATTATAGAATTTAGTAAACCAGGTATCAAGAAATGCACAATATGTTTTAAAAGAAGGAATATGAAATATTTAAAGAAAATATTGTAGATCAATATTGAAGGTAATATAAATATTATATTTGAAACCATGTTTGATTTCTAGTGATATAAAGTTAGAATTACAGTAAGGTGTATCAAAATATAAACTAAGTCAAATAGATTTAAGATTAAGATCAAGATAGAATTAAATATAGTTAATAGTTTAATATTTATTATGAAGAAAGAGGTATAAACAAGCAAAATTAATTGCAATATAAGCATATTGGAAAATAGAATATAGGAGTAAAAAATAGAGTAAATAAACGATTTTTTTATAGTTAGACTTGTAAAAAGAATAGTAGTCAAGTTAGAAAGAATATTTTTAAGGTAAAAAGTAATAACTTAGATGAAATATTGAAATTAAAAGAAGGTATATTGGAGATATTTTAATAAATAATATTAAAAAGGAATTGTGGTTTTTGTAAAATCATATTTTGTAATAGATTATTAAAGCTATTACAAATAGGTTGTTGAGGAATAGTAGAAGTATAAGTTGTATATTTAGGGTAAAAGTTTTAAAGAAAAGGTTTAATAAAATTTAAAACATTAATTCCAAGAGGAGTTGGAAATTGTATTAAATTTTGGGCTTCTAAATTGATTAGAAATACTTGAAACCAATTATGCATATTACTAGAAAGCTTATAGTGAAGAAATTTTTGTTAAAATATAGTTAGTTTAGAGTATAAATACTAAAAGTAAAAAGAAAAACTGAAAAACTTAATAAAGAAATATAGATCGTTTGAAAATAAATCTTAATGGCATTGATCACGTGATCAGAATCAGATAATTTTAGTTTCATTAAAAGCGTCTTAAAGAGGCCATCATTTTGATAGTTAAATTGTCTAAATTGGTTAGGTAGATCAAAAGTTATTGAATTTTAAAGATTTTGTATTATTAATATATAATTGTTACTATATATAGGATAGTATATAAGTATAGAAAATATATACGAAAATATAAGTTATAAATGTTCAATATTTTGTAATTTTAGGGTGAAAATTGTATGAAAATTATGTGTAGAAAATTTGGAGTATTGAGATAATAAGGTTAGCTAAAAAAAGAGTTATTATATAAATAATAAATTTTTGTATAATGATTAGCAAACTTGTATAAAATTGATTGTTAAAATGAAAAATATAAAAGAAAAGTTAATATTTCTGTAATATAAAGTTAATTTAAATAAATTTGGAAGTAATTGGATATTACACAAAGATTGTGTATAGTAGAAAGTACAAAAAAAGACAAAAAAAGTTGTAAAGAGTGAGTAAGAGAGTGTTAAAATAGTTTAAAGAGTATCTTCATCAATTTTGATACTACAGAAATGAAATATAGCTTGTTATGACAAAAAAAGTATATAAAACAACTTTTAATAAATATATTGTAAAGGTTTAGAATTATGTTAAAGAGCAAATAGTAAAAGTTTAAATTTTTTGCCTAAAAAACGGTTTAGGACTTTATTTTATGAATATAAAAACTAAAGACTTGAAATTTGAGTTTTATATATATTTTTTATTATTATATATAGTTAGATTAACATAGTAAAATTTTGTGTAAATGGATATTTTTTGTTGGACAGGTTTTAAATAAATTTTGTATTAGAGATTTGCAAAAAAAGTTATTACTAGGAATTAATAACCTTAAGTAAACAAAACTTTATTATATTAATTAGTATAATAACATGTATCAATATACAAGTATTATTTTATTAAAAATATTAACTATTATCCAATACTTTACTATGATCAGCCTATAAAATAAATTAATTATTTTATGACTTTTCTGTATTTTATATTATATCGCATTTGTATTTTATAGCATTTTTTGGTATTACATAAATTACATTTTTATCTATCTAATATAGCATTTACATTTAAGTATTTATATAATTACTATGTGTATTTATTTATTAATCGTAACATGACTTGCATTTATATAATAGTTATTGATAACCATAGTGCCCACTTGTAACCTTGATTTTGTACGTCATAAAGATCTTTTTCTTTCTAATGTCAAATTCTTTTTGGTTGCATTACTATGCAATGGTAAATTCAACTTCATATTATCTTTAAAAGGTGATTGAAACTTGGAATTAATTGTTCTTTTTTTTTTAGCATACAAATTTGAATCATTATCGGTTAACTAAATAAAAAAAAAAAGCAAAAAAATAGTTAATTAATTTTAATTAAAGAATTACAGTATAGCGATAATTAAATTACATGAGTTTGAGCTTTACTAGAATTATAATTGCTATTTAAAGAACCATCTTTAGCAAAATCATAGTCGTAAAGAGTAGTATAGTCAGAATTATAAGTAATATCATGATCAAAGTCACAAATAGTATCACTATTATGATCATCCTTTAATTAAAAAATAGTATATTTTAATAAATTATAAATAATTTTAAATAAAATTACTAGTTATACTTATAGGCAAATCCTGTGCTTTGAAAAGGTTTACTGCATTAATTAAAGTGGATAATGCATTTTTTTTTTGTTGTTTGCTTGGTCTAAAGTAAATCTGATAAGAAGATTCACTCTTATGGCCAGTAATTGACATGAAAGTTATGATTGGAATGCCTTTACAAAATAAAAATGTAATTGGTGTAGTCCTTTCTGAATGATTAATAATGTCACAATTCTCAATATTTATCCCCACATCATTACAAATACTTTTCATCATATTGTTGTACAAATTTACTCCAATTTTATTTTTTGAATACCAAATTCCACATGCATATTCTGCATTTAAAAATATTTGTTAAAAAATAATAATAATAAAACTATAATATATAAAAAGTTAATATATTAAATATGTACCTCAAACATCTTTGAAGATGAAGAAATTCACAAGTACAGTCCTTGGGCCTTTTACTTATATAGAGTTTAATATCATGTACTGGCCCTAAAAAGCCTTCAGGATTTGCAAGTACTGATATTATCAGAGAATATAAATTTCTATCTATATTTCTAGGATCATTTTTTTGTGAAAATTTATTAAAATGAAGCCCTCCATTACTTAAAAAGGTAAACTGTGCTACTTTTATTTTACTATATTTTCCACCTCGTGGTGCAAATAAGAGATAGCACCACATAAAAACCCGGTACTGGAGGCTTTTAGCCATATTAATAGACAATGCTTCATGATTAAATATCATTTTTAATTCTTCTGATGTTAATGGATCATGATGTTTAGTTACTTTGCTAGACTTTTTTAAAGCCTTCATCTTTCTATTTAAAGCTTCCCAGAGTAGAGGAAAATCACATTTGTTATTGATAGTAAATGTATTACTACGATTTGGATGCTTAGAAATATAATTGCTTAAGCAATTATATGTATTAGTTAATGAGGATAGACTATAATCACTTTCATTTTGAACCTTTCGCATGCTACAAAAAAACTCAGTCATCTCTTTTTCAAGTTGATCTTTATTTGTAATCATTTCAACACTGTAATGATATTTAACATTTCCATGCCATCGATTTAATGCTATAACCCACTTCTTGGTAACTTTACGAGTATTTTTAGAGATAGATGATTCAATTATGCTTTCGATCTCTTGATCAGTTGGTAAATAATCACCAAGATTTGAGTTTGTCTATTAAAATTTAAGTAATTTATTTAAATATTAAATATTAAAATATTTAAAAATCTTGTAACTATTACCGTATGTTTCCGAAAATAAGCTACCCCCTTTTCTCTTGAAGAGAAAATATAAGAAACACCTTTGTTCCGAAAATAAGCTACCTCCTATTAGCCGCAAGTAGTTGCTACATATAAAAGTCGAAATTTTACTAAGTAAATCGACAAAAGTCGCTTAATAGTGATTGTTCAGGAGATAAAA